TTGGTGTAAATAAAACGTCTAATTAGATAAGAAAACGATTCTATTAGGCTACTTGCAAAGAGATGTAGAAAACTGGTGTAGATCTTGTAAAATTTGTGTAGCTAAAAAGGATCATGGGCTTATAATGTCGAAACTCCTTTTGAATAGGGTTCAAATGGGTATCCTTGATTTATTTTCTTTAACGTTTTCGGGAAATAAATATTTATTAATAGCAGTGGATTGTTTCACAAAATGGCCAGAGGCTATTCCTCTTAAGAATACAAAGGCAAAAACTGTTGCGGATGCTTTTGTTAGTCAATTTATTTTTAAGGACGGTATTCCGCATGAGGTGTATGCAGAGGTAGAAACTTTGAATTACGGTTGTTTAAAGAAATTATGTTTCTTTTGAGAATTAAAAAACAAGAACGACGTCTTTACATTCCCAAACGAACGGACAGGTGGAGCGACAATATCGAATTATTTTATATTATTTAGCAAAATTCATTTCTAAAAATCAGAGAGATTGGAATCGATGGATCCCTATGTTCTTATTATCTTATCAAACTGCGAGACATGAAGTTAATGGAATTTCTCCTGCTGAAATGATTTTAAATCGTGATCTTAAATTGCCTTTAAACCTTCTTTGTGAACATTCGTCTCATGAAGAAGATACAGAGGTAGGAGATTATGTCTCTATTTTAAGGAAAAAGTTAAATGAAGTTCGTGCTTCTGCTCGTCAGCGTTTAGGAAATAGGTCTGAGGGAATGAAATGTCGCTATGACCGAAAAGCCAGGTTAATCTGTTTTTAAGAAGGTCAGAAGTAGTTGTACAATCCTAAAAGGGAAATAGGCAAAGCTCCAAAAACCTTACAAAGCTATTGAGAAAAATCTTACAAAATAGTAAAAAAAATTAGTGATATATATAGTATTTTGTATTATAAAATTTTCTAGACACAAAAATAAAATGGTTTACGCTGATAGATTATAGCTTCCTATCATGAAAGAGAGAAAGAGAGAGGAAGTTTAAAGAAAATAATTCTAGGAAAAGATTCTAGTTTTTATTGTTTTTCGTTCTAAAGTATCTCGAGCTCAGTAAGAAGAGAGATTTTTAAGAAGGAAACGTGTTTATTGTTCGAGGAGAAAGTTAAATTAAAACAGACTGTCTTACTTAAAACGCCACCTTGGAAGAGTTCAGGGAGGAGAACGTGCGACTGGGAGAACTTTCCATAATTCTTCGAAATAGGATTGTCAAGACGACAATCTGGAGGAAGGGGGGTAGTATTATGCTAATATTACACAAAATGTTACGCTTACGTTCACTGTTACACTCGTGCGGAAAAGAACAACACACTCTTTCGAATAAGAACTGTAACGATTTATTTAACCCCGAAATACAATCTCTAGAACGTACGTTGTCCGAATTTCTCCAAGAGATCTGTCAAATAAACACCGTTGCTAAGGGAACACTCTTCCTTGTCTGCTTCCACGAACGATTATAGTCGGCACGGCTCAAGCTCGGCCCATTCCAATAAACACGGGTGCAACAATATAGAATACGAGATGATTAAAACGCTGTTGGATAACGCATTGGAAATACTTCTTAACATATATAATGTCATCTGGATAGGCTTTTAGAACCAGAAGACTGGAATAAATATCAAGTTATATTCATCGATAAGGTGGGAAAAGAAAAAGTGAGACCCATCACACTCTCATCTTGCATGCGCAAAATAATGAAAAGAATGGTAAATGAAAAAATGATATGGTGGTCTAAACATAATCGTATTTTACATAAAACTCAAAATGGATTTAGAAGAGGCAGATCCTATGCGGATAATTTAGTGAATATATTGATAGATACTAGAAAGGCCCTATTAGAAGAAAAATACGTTTTTGCGGAATCTTTTGATGTGTTTTCTGCATACGACAATGTAAATCCGAATATTCAGCTTCAGCATTTAAGAGAGCTTCGATATCCGTCTGGTATCTTGAGGTACTTAGATAAATGGTTGCAAAGTCGAGACACTAAGTTTATTATAAATAAACAAGAGTCGATATATCAAAAGGTAAGCAAAAGATTACCACAGGGGGCCGTTTGGAGCCCCCTTCTATACGCTCTTTATATGATCAATATAGACAAAAGTTAATTGATGACAAAGTTAATATCTTACAATTCGTCGATGACATCGCGCTTTATGTACATGGTCCTAATAGAAACTCTAACAGAATCAGTTTGGAGTCAGCCGTTAACCAAACAGCAAAATTTAGACAAAATCGGATTGAACCTCGTACCTAAGAAAACGAATATTGTTGAATTTTCTAAGAGTGAATTTATTGACAAAAAGATATATAAAATGTTAACGACATGAAAAAATTTATAATGACAAAGAGACAAAGTTTTTAGGCATCATGTTTGGTAGACATAATCAAATGAAATTCTGTAAAAAAATTAGACTGGTTAGAGGTAAGGTAGACAGGACAAAACTCCATTTTGAGTTACCTTAGCAATATCTCGAGAGGAAGTTAATATCGCGTTAATGCTATACAAAAATCTTGTACGGTCGGTCATAAACTACCGTAGTTTTGTCTTTTCTCCTAGGAATAGTCAGGAAATCACTGGAGAAATGTCAATACAAAGGACTTAGAACAGCACTAGGCTACAGAAACAGTATCTCCCATAACGTTATTACTGTGGAAGCTAAAGTTACCACACTAAGAGACAAGGCTTGCTTCTTGGGAAAAAACTGAGCTCGCAAATTTTGAAATACAGCAAAAGAGAAATGAAAAAGAGCTTAGAGATTCTTAATAGCAAGGCAAATTTTGTTAGATATCGTAATCTTGCTAGTAGAAAGTCTCATCACCGAGGCATAGGAAAGCGTTAGAAAGTTCAGGAGGAAGATAGGAAACCAAGAGATAGGATATGAACTATGGAGAATAGATTACTTTACTATCACGGAAATTAGAGATTAATATTGATTTTGGTAATCTTTTAAAATAGAAAGATAAGAGAAAGGACAATGGCATCCACGGATATACGAGAGAAGATCTCAAAATGATTAGATTAATACGTAAAAGATTTAGTCTTAGTGAGCATACAATGCTTGTATGCACGGACGATTCTAAAGCTAAGGATTATGCAGCAACAGGTGCAGATATTTTTAAAGATAATGACGAGAAATTTTATGTTAGTTACCACGGGATTGTTTGACATTTTTAGCTAAAACGTTTGCTATTCTTGCTACTTTCTAGATTTTTTAGAGGGATGTAACGGAAGGGAAAATAACTGCAGATTGTTTATGTATTCTATTAGATTGTCAATCAGTGTTGAAATTTATTAGAAACAACCATCTAAATGTATCATAATAGCTTTATTCTCAAGATTAAAGAGATCAGAAAGAACATTCAATAAAAGAGTCATATTCATATGGATACCCAGCTACCGATCGGGGTATCTTGGGAAATGAAATAGCAGACTATTTCGCCAAATCCGGAGTAAATGAAACAGCAAGCGACGAAGTTCCTATCTCTATCGGAGATCTCAGAAAAATATTTAAGAAAGAAGTTTCGGAGAATACTAAAAAAAAAATAAAATACGAAGTAGAGCCCAAAGGAAAATTTTATTTTGAACATTTTTATAAAGAAAAGAAAAGAAAACCTTGGTTCCACAATCATAACGAAAAAAGATATTTAACTTTTTATAAATAGAATTAGAGCTAATCACTACAACCTTAACAAGTCACTAGCGTAGAAAGAGTATATTGACAGTGCTAAATGCAATTGCGGATATGAGAGACAAGACATTGATCACGCGATATGGCAATGCCATAGATTCGATGAACAAAGAGAGGTTATGGGAAACGAGTTATCGTTACAAGGGTTGGGCGGAAAGATCAGTCATTTTAAGCTCATAAAGAAGAAACAGTAAGAGAAAATCAAAATCATTTATAAATCGCTTATCAAAAAAATAGGGAATGTCATATAAACTACGTGCTCGTACAAAACATCACGAGCTTACTTATAACCCACCCCAAGTAGTACAGTCTAGCTGGATTGGCTTTGACAGCAA